GGTGCCCTGTGGATACTACACAGAGTCAGTTTGGGTGCCCTGTGGATACTACACAGAGTCAGTTTGGGTGCCCTGTGGTTCAATACGTACCTTGATCACAAGTTCCCTGACAGAGTCAGACTGATGTGACACCCATACCAACAGGTACTCCGCCTTGAGCACTCCTCCGATTACAGCAGGTACCTGCTCTGCTTGGAGATTCAGAAGTATCTTCTGTAACAGCTTCAACAACCCTAGCCGCATCTGAAAAAGAAAATGTAATACTAAACGAGGCTTTGCACCATCACGTGATGGCAGCGATGACAGGAGGCAGGAACAATTGAATCTGGTCTAATCTGGKTTYTTTTCAGAGGAGGTTTTCTCAGTTTACAATGCCTTCTGTCATGGAGGCCATTACTTGATGGTGCAAAGCCTCTATTGATAAAACACGCTCCGTTTGAGTCTCGGGTGCATGTAATGATTATCAGAGGACCAGCTGTTAAACATATGGAATACTTTACCTTGGTCATGTGATCAGGAGCTCGGCGCCTTTTCTCGCTGTTATTTGGTTTATAGGTTTGTGTACTAGACTTGATTCCAGGATATCCTTCTACGACTAGATACTCGTCCATGGAACTTTGATGAGCCAAGCTAAAAAGATGAACATTAAATATAGTATCCCTTTTACAACCACGTGCAGCAAAAGCAGCAGCAACAACAACAGCAGCAGCAGCAACAACAGCAGCAGCAACAACAGCAGCAACAACAGCAACAACAGCAGCAGCAGCAACAACAACAACAACAGCAACAGCAACAACAAAAACAACAACAGCAGCAACAACAGCAGCAACAATGTTACCAGTTTTAATCTGACTCAAGATACCAATACAGTAGTAAAATCCTTTATTCACTCGTTAGAGCTTGATACTCGTTGCTTGCGCTTACACGTGTTCTCTCTTATATATCTTATCTCTATATTATATATGTCACCTGATACTATACTAAATTATGTCACACAACTAACTTAGTCAAAGCGTGACAGTTCATACACTTCACAACAACAACAACAACAACAGCAGCAGCAACAACAACAACAACA